TATTCCATCAGCTACTCCATTCTCTCCTAATTCCCTCAATGCTGATACCAATGAATAGATAGTAGGACCACCTTTCTTCTGTACATTATCAGCTTTCTGTAGCCATTTAGTAAGGCACTCACGCAGACAACTCTCAGCATCATCTTTATTATTGATTTTAATAACATTAAGTGTATTAGGAGACAGACCAAGAACCAGACCAAGATCATAGTAACTGACTCCTGAATTGTCATGCCTCCTCAGGGATTGAAGTAGATCAGCAAGATCAGTGACTATTAAATAATTGTATTTATTATAAAAAATAAGTAACTAAACATACTTTGCAGTTGACTTGTATTGTCTGCTGGTACAAGAGAATCCATTGAACTAAAGTTTTGCAAAGAAGGGTGGGGCTCAATAACAAAGCCCACGTGATCTGATCTAATTAAAGTAGGAGGGACTAAGCCAGTAAGCCTCCTTTGAAATGCAAAGCTATTTTTTATTTTTGTGATGCTTGATTCAGTTTGAAGGCTTGAACTGAGTGAGTCTGAGGTAGTCTCATCTTTTGTAAACTGATAATTCTATTTTATGTACTGTTAGTGTCTATATATTTATCAGTAGTACTGGAGTAACTGATGGATCAGTGATACAATCATTGATACAAGTTATGACTGATGAGAATTACCAGCTCACTGGACCCTGACTCTAAGAAGTTAGTCTATAATTATTATTTATTTATACTACTGTATGGGTACAAAATATCACGTGGGATTGATTTTCATTATTTTTGTTGTGTGAAGTTTCAATCCAGTGAAATTCTTCATATGACCCCACACCTTATAGTGCTTTAAAAAGAAAACGTGAAATTAAAACACTAGCAAATTAATTTTTCCCAAAAATCACAAAACTTCAACACCACAAATATTTGTACCAGTACAATATCTGTTATTGTTATTGCTGTTGTATGAGGAGGAAGGAGAGAGAGAGAGGGGCTATAGCCTTGAGTATATTTAATTTGGCATTTTTTTAAAATGGCTGTAGCTCAAAAGGACATACTGTATAAGGACAGTATGTATCAGAAACGTGATAAAAATTGAGGGGATTTTGGAGCCATTTTTTGGAAAAAAATATGGGCTATATAGCCTGGGGTATTATTCAGAAATTGTAATTATAATATTTTTATTCATAACTCAATGACTCTCCTCCCTATAGTCTGAGGAGTTATTACGTGTGTATCCTCCATATATAAATTATTTTGAAGTCACTAAGGAGGCTCTCAGTTCCTGTGATCGTCAGTTCCCAAGGTTTCATGCTTTCCTTAAGTGTAATGAGTCCAAACCAGAGTGTGGCCGCCAGACACTATCAGAACTACT